TGATTAAAAAGTTCCATTAGAGGACAGAAAAGAAATTGCTTTTCAATAAAAGGTAAATTGGTATGTAGATTTTAAAAGAATTATATCTTTTAAAGCAACAAGGTTCCCGTAGTATAATACTGTCTGTCTGTCTTTTAATTAATGTGAATCTGTTTTTTGTCAATGAGACATTTTTGTCTCTGGTAAATAGTTCAGTTGGAGTACAACACTGTTTTTAGGTTATGCTGGATTGTATTAAAAAGACCGTAGGGGTTAATGTCATAGATTTATTGCTTTTTGACCTTTCCACTGATGTTTAACATTAACTGTAATGTTTTTCCTTTTCGATAGACAGCTCAGGATGTATATGGAAAGATGACATTGCATTGACTTTTGCTGTTTAAATCCATGGAGTCTTTAATAAAGATATTTTCATGTTTTCAGTGGTAGTGTATAAAATCTGATTCACTATCTTTCCGATGCTGTATTGATTAGTTTGATTTTACAGTGATGGGATAATTGTGTGGTAACTGCATTAAGGAGGAATGGATTTGATTGAATTTGTGTCCATTTTTATCTGTGTTACTTTCATGTTTTATTTAAAATCATTTCTTGACTAGGATAAGTTAGGTGGTATAATTTGCCTTTTACACAGTTATGTAATTGAAGTTAGCAATGTGGAAAAATCCATAATCAAAATAAAATGCCTTAGAATGATGACATAAACCTGAGCTTTTTGTTGCCCTGAGAACAAGTTTTATTCATAATAATTTAATGTCTCCTGAGGTGTTTTGTTTATATGATGAAGGGTTATCCACCTTGATCAATTAATGTGCTTTACTTTGTATAATATAGTCAAGTTGTTAATACATACTTGAGGGTTGACCCTGCTTAGGTAAGTGGTGAGTAAAGATTACATGTCTTAGGAAAATGATATTGGGATAGCTTTGATATTTATGGTTTGATTAATGGTTTGGTGTTTTAGGCAAGGTGATGTTGCAGTAGAGAGGATTTTTCCAAAAGCATCTGATGGTTTGTATTTGTGAAGTCCATAAAGAGAAGATTGATAGAATCTTATGAAATGATATGAGGTTTTGCTATGAATCAAGATTAGTGTGCCTTTTTGCTGAATGGCTTCTGCATTTTTGTCATCAGATTGAGTACTCAATACTAATTGTGTTGGAAAGAGACATATAAGTTGTAGGCTTATAATATGTAAAAGGAATGGGAATCTTGCAGATCAAGTTTAAAATAGAAAAATGGGCAATAGACACAAATAAATATTTCACAGAAAGAAGAAAGTACAGTTGACCCATGAACAACACGGGTTTGAACCACACAGGTCTGCTTATATGTGGATTTTCTTCTACTGCTGCCACCCCTGAGACAACGAGACCAACCTCTGCCTCTTTCTCCTTCTTCTCCACCTCCTCAGCTGTGAAGATGACAAAGATGAAAAACATTTATGATTGACCCACTTCCACTTAATGAATAGAAATAAATTTTCTTGGTCGTATGATTTTCTTAATATTTTCATTTCTATTGCTTAGTTTATTGCAAGAATATAATATATAATACATATACAAAATATGTGTTAATTGATTATATTATTAGTAAGGGCTTCTGGCCAATAGTAGGCTATTAGTAGTTAAGTTTTCGGGGAGTCAAAAGTTATATGCAGATTTTCAACTATGCAGAGGCACTCTTAACCCATGTTTGAGGGTCAACTGTTTATATGAGTGATATAAAATATACTCATGACTTGTTATAAGAGAGCTACAAATTAAAACTGGAATCAGATACCATTTTTCACCTTTCAGAATCTGAGCAACTCAAAAGCTTACAATGTATTATATTTCTTTTCATTTTGAAATAATTATAGACTCACACAGTAAGTTGCATATATATGTATATATATATATCCATATATGCTTTCTACTTGGCTTATTCCACCTTTACCTGAATGGCAACATCCTCTTAAAATTATTTTTTATTTTTATTTTTTGAGACAGTGTCTCACTGTGTTACCCAGGCTGATCTTGAACTCATGGACTCAAGAGGTCCTCTCACCTCAGCCTCCCAAATACCTGGGATTACAGGTGCACACCATTGTGCCCATCTTGTTGCATCTTATATAACTGTAGTACAGTATCAAAACCAGGAAACTGACAGTGGCACATTTTTGTTAACTAGGCTGTAGACCTTATTCAGTTTTCCCTATTTGATTAATCTCATTCATTTGTGTGTGTGTGTATAGTTTTATGAAATATTATCCCATGTATAGATTGATGTAACCACCACCACGGTTAAGACACAGAACTGTTTGAAACTGTTTCATCAACACATACCTGTTTGTATTCATGCCCATTTCTCACCTCACCCCATCCCTTGCTCCTGACAACCACTAATCTGTTCTCCATCTCTAGTTTTTTGATTTTTGAGAATGTTATGTAAATCAAATCGTATAGTACGTAATATTTTAAGATTGACATTTTTCACTAAATTTTAATATAATGCCCTTGAAATCATCCATTCAGATTGCTGCGTGTAGTTCATACTTTATAATCACACTGTTGTATTCCATTGCATGGATGTAGCAGTTTGTTTAACTATTCACCCACTGAAGGACATATGTGTTGTTTCTGGCATTTTGCTATTATGAATGAAATTGCAGTGAACATTTGTGTAAAAGCTTTTTACGTGAATATGTGTTTTCATTTCTCTGTATTAAATGCCCAGTAGTGTGATTGTTGCGTTGTCTAAGTGCATATTTAGAAAGGAACCACCCAACTGTTTTCCAGAGTGGCTGTACTGTTTCACATTCCCGCCAGCATCGTATGTATGATAGGCAACCGATTTCTCAACAGAGTCCATGGAAGATGACGGAAGTGGTATACAACTTTCAAGTACCAGAATAAATGAACTGTTAACCCTAAATTCTGTTTCTAGTGAAAATATCCTTTAGGAATGAAGGGGAAATAAAGACATTCTTAGAAAAAGGAAAACTGAGAGAATCTGCCACTAGGCAGATCT